AAACAAAAGTTACAACTCTCATCAAAACAAACGCAGGGATATCGTTTATCGTCTCCTGCTTGCGTGGGTGTCTTCGCCTATGCCGGGGTTTATCCGTGGACGACCGTCGATTAGATCCGGTTGTTGAAAATTAGGTAAAGCTTCGCCTTCACCGAGGGAGTGTTTGATTTGAAGCACTGAAATCGACCAAGCGAAATCAGGGCTCTTCTCGAGATTAAGACCAAGCTTAATCTCAAGGAACGGACGGACGGGGTTCAGATCCTTCGAATAGCTCCTTCTTTATGCCAGAGTTTGCCGGGATCTGATTTGCCTTCGTTGAAATTCGTGCTCCCTGACTCCTCAATCCAGCAGCACCTCCACGTCTTGATAATAAATCGCCCCCTGAGAAATGAGGCCCTAGGCTTGTATTTATAGGGCTCCGGATACAGATTTTGAGATAAGAATGAATGATCCCTCCTTATCTTCAGTTAATAACTGATTAACAACGTTTGAGGATGATATCAGATCAGTTGGGATGCTCAGGAACCAACAAATCCCGAGAAAACCCGTCAAAAACCGAACAGGGGGTCAAAACAGCGTGCGGATGAAATCTGACCCGCGAGGGGCGCGGGTCAGCGCGGTCCGACCCGCACGGCCGCGGGTCGGCGCGGTTCGATTTGCACGGGTGCGGGTAGTTCGGCCTTTGCGCTGAACTGTTTGGTGTTTTCTGATTTCTCCGGGACTTGTATTTTCCACCGTTTTACGTATTTAACCGTCTCGTTGACTTATACGATTTGCTAACTTGCTTCAGGCGCTCGTTAGCTTTTTTACGGCACTTGGAACTGATCGACGTGCGCGTGTTGATTGACACGTGCGAGCTGATTGACATACACGCGTTGACTGACACGCGCGAACTGATTGACACGCGCGAACCACTTGGTTCGTCGTTTCGCTTCATGCGCTTGTCGACGACAGATAATCCTCTTAGACTCGGATAACGACGTTCGTTGTCTTCTCTCCGTCTTGAGCTGTATTCGGGGACCTATAGGCATTTTTAGACGCCTACAGTTAGCATACTTTTAAGCAATTATTTTGCCTTATTGGTTTTAAACATTCACCTTCCTCATATAACACTGTTTTAATATTTTTACTTTTGTAACACTGTACTTTCTCAAGTAAAGCTTGGTTTCATGTCAGTCAAAATACTATAAAAATTCAAATTAGCTTCAAATTATATTTGTTTTTATCAATTTAAATATTAACATGAAAATTTACATTGGGCGTAGCCTATTTAAACAAACATCAAAGAAAATAACTAATTGTAATATTAAAGTTTAGAGATAAAAATGAGCATAAACTATTAAAGTAGAACTAAGAAACAAATATTAGTTATAAAATAAGCCAAAAATACTTAATCATGATATTTAACCACGTGCATTGCACGTATATAAAACCTAGTTATAATAATACATTCAAGTTTTTACTAAGTTTTTTTGTAATAAAATAAGGGATAATATTAGCTAGACTAAACATCAAATATTTCTAAACTATAAGAAACAAAAGTGTGAGGTCCCTCCTCTTGATAATGGTATCAAATTGACAAGTTACGATGCTTCAAGCCCTAAATTTTTGTTTCTAGTAGGGCTAGTTTGGTATTTGCTAGAGCTTGTAATAAGTCGCTTATAAAAGTAGCTTAAAGAAGCAATTTATATGAGCTATCAAAAATAGCTATTTGGGAATTAAATATCAAAAGCTACTCAAAATCAGTTAAAGTATTTTGGTAGAACCGTGCTTAATGATCACTGTTAAAAGATATAATGTATATAGAGTGTATAAACAAAAAAACCAAAAGCTGCTTTTGAAAGCATCCTCAGATTACTTCTAATAGCGTTTTTTTAAAAGTAGAAGGAATTTCAATGCACATGCCAATTTTTTTTTACCAAACACTATTATTAGCTACTTTCATAGAAATAATTTGTGATTTACAGTAGAGTTATCACTACACTTGCGATGGCTGTATAGAATGTACCCTTAGGGCTTGTTTAGATAGGGGGTAATCTACTCCTATATACTTAAAGTAGAATCTAAAGAATTACTATTCATGCTATAATAAATACTATAGTAATTCAAATCTATTCACCCATACTTAAAATTACTATTCATACTACAATAATTTACTATATCATAAACAGTAAAGCAAATCAAATTTATTAAAACTCGGATTTTTCTTTAAATATAGAGGAGCGGATATGATTTCTAAATCAAATGTATTAAAACTTGGATCATTCTTTAAATATAGAGGAGTAGATATGATTTCTAATTTTAAATATACAATAATTAAATCAAATGTTTTAAAACTTAAAGGGAGACAAGTTCAAAATGCAATGCTTAAAAAATAGGGGCCGTGTTTGGTATGGGGTGCACACTAGTGCGAGTAAAGGGAAGATATGAGAGACATTATCCGTGTTTGGGAAGTCATTTGAGGTAGTTAATTAGGGAGAAGTTATGATAATGGAGGGGATAAAGTTAAAATCCCCCCTAGCCATTGGGGTGTAATGGAGCGAAGGATATGGGAATGTCACTCTTAAAATAAGAGAGTATTCCACAAAGATAATTTTATCCCTTATATCAAGATGAGATTTAAATGGATGAAATAACATATAAGATATTTATGTTAATTTACATATATTTTATTCCATTCTCTTTACTTTATTAAACTTTTCCAAACGGGGTGAAATAAGTTATATTTTATTTTCCTTACTAATTTTTCAAATAAGTTTTACATATTTCCTTACCTTCCCTTAACTTAACTTATCATATGTTATCTTAACTTTCCTTCGTTAGGACAAGTCTTTAATATTGAAGGGTAAATAACACTAAATCCCCTTGAGGTTTGCAACTTTCACAACAAATCCTCCCGAGGTTTAGAAAGTGACACTTTCTCCCCCTCTATTTTTATTCTTAATGTATTAAAGTCACATGATACTCATGTGACTATTTTAAGGACCAAAAGATCCTTTACCATAATTTTCCTACTCCATTTCTATTTTTTTACTGCAGAGTTTTTTTTTCTTGTTTTTTACTTTTATTATTTTAGGGAATTCGAACCCTATAACTTATAAACTCCATAAAGTATAAAAATAAATGAATTTGTCTTGTTTTCTTGGATGATTTTTTAGGGGAGAATCAGTGAAATATAAAATTTTGTTCTTAGGGGGGGTTAGTCATCTAGAACTTAAAACTGGAACTGGGATAATTTATGGGAAAATTTTTTAAGGTATTAGTTACATAGAACTAGGAAATGAGATATTTTTTATAGTGTTAGTCAAGTAGAATTTTTGTAGAACTAGAACTGTATTATTTTTTTGGTGCGTTAGTCAAGTAGAATTCTACTAGAATTAGAATTGGGATAATTGGTCATAATTATCCCACAAATTATACTACATATATATATAACCATAAGTTCTCCTCTCTCAAATTATCCCACATATTGGAAAGAATACAATTAGGAAAAAAAGTGAAACACCGCCTCCCTCCCTCTTGGTTAGTTTCTCCGCCTAGAAAATTTCTCTGCCATGAAGTCAATCATCCGTTCATTTTTCTATCTTTACTTTGTTTTTGTGATGATTAGATCTTTTATTATTATCTTCAAGATGTATTACTTTATTGATAGCTTTCTGACGTTAAATTACTTTATTATTATTTGTTTGATCTAAGTTTTCTCTCCACAACAGTGGTTTAGGTTAAGAATATAGTATTGGTGGGTTAGTGCTAAATATATGCGAGCTATTTATGTTTTTTTTATAAGTTAGAAAGCAACTTTGCGATCACATTGATGATTAGATGTTGAATGGTTAATGGTGATGTCTATTATATTAAATCGGCTCAGTAAATTGATTGGGATATTTATAGTTCATCTGTCGATCATCTGTTTAGCGGCCATGGATGATTCCTGTGTACATTTCATTTATTTGCTGATTTGGTTTCAGCGATCATGATGAGATTGGTCCAAAGGGTTAATGGCTGAAAAATGCTTATTTTTCTTTCTTTGTGATGTTATGAGATTTGAACTTCGACATTTATGATCCACCGCTAGAAGCTTCACGAAATGTTGCTGATGCAGACGATGACTCCGATAAATAAGACAAGTTACAGACTCAACGACCAGCTGTAGGAGCTTGGAGAAATTCTATGACAGATGTCATGTGGGATGATAGAAGCCATATGGGATGATAGTCACTCTAGGGATTTAGATTTTTATTTATTTGTAAGTTATTTTATTATTTGAGATGAATAGTGATGCTTTATTGCATTATATTTTATAGTTATTACTAGAATTTGCTTATCAATATTATATTATTTTTAATATACAATTATTAACAATAGTAATTTATACCCACCATTACCCCCACCAAATTATCCTACCAAATTATGCAACTTCATAATATTATCCATCATTATCCCACCAAATTATCCTACCAAATTATCCCACTTTAAGAATTACCCATCATTGTTCCACTAAATTACCCCCGTGTCAAAATATTATCCCACTTTACCAATTATCCCAGTTCTACTTAAAAAGTTCTAGGTGACTAACCCCCCCTTAGTTCAATAGTTTTTTTATGACAACTACAAAATGGATTAAAAAAACTAGAAGATGAATGATGCGGGAGATAATTTAAAAAAACTCTAGAGGGTACTTTGATCATTAAGGGGTCACATAAGTATCATGTGACCCTATTAGATTGAGAACTAATAAGGAGGGGGAGAAAGTGTTACTTTCTAAACCTCAGGGCGAGATTTTGTCAAACCTGCAAACCTCAGTGGGATTTAGTGTTATTTACCCAATATTGAATTGTTAAATTCCCAGGCTGACCCATCTGTTAAATTGGGTGGGCCAAACGCAGTGCATTTTCGATTCCCATCCTAGCCCAACTTCAAAAATCCGTCATGGCCTAACTTCAATAGACCCATCAAAAAGCCCATTTGGCCCAACTTCAGTAATCCATTCATCCAATTCGCCTAAACTCTACACCTCTCAAACAAGCACGTTAAACAGAAAACCAAAACAAGCCCATGGCTCGAGCTTCATTGGGAGCAATGCCTCTCAAATTCTCCTCTCTCTTCAACAGGAAACCCCCCCAAGTCCTCATCTCCCTCTCCCCATTCTCCACTTCTCTCCATCGCAACGCACTGAGACCACCCAACATTCCTTTACCCAAAGATGAAGACCCCAGCTACAACAATACCCACAACGACAGCAGCAGGAGCAACCCATCAAGAAGGAGCCGCAACGAGCTCAAGAGAGAGGCTCGACGCTCGGTCAAATGGGGAATGGAGCTCGCCAAGTTCAACAATTCCCAAATCAAGCGCGTTCTGAGGTTTGATCGCCATGCACGGCAGCTGTTCGACGAAATGACTCTGCGTATTTTGTCATTCTTATTGTTTTTTTTCCTTCTTGTTTCTGTTAGAGTTGCTGGGCTTGATGAAGATGTGTTTGATGCTCTAATGCTGGTGAAGGTAAAATGGTTGGTTGCTTGTGGGTTTGGCTTTTTTGGGTGTTTTTGTTGATGGGGTTTTTTTTTTTTTTTGTATTTTGATGCAGAGATTGGGGCCTGATGTTCGAGAAGGAAAGAGGAGGCAGTTCAATTATATAGGTATGTGACTTTTGAATGTATTTGATATTTAGTTTATAAGATGATTTCTTTGCTATATTGTTTAGTATAAGAATTATTGCAGCATTTATTTAGCACTTTAATTGAACAAACGATCCCTTGACAACTCTTGATATTAATTGTAAGTTCAGGATCATGGTAGTCATATTCCTTTTGGATGCTGTACAAAAACAGTGTTGTGTATCAAATAACTTCATTTGTATGAAGTAATTTTTGCATGTCTTTAGAGTGCAAGTATGATGATTTTGGTATATTGGTAATGAGATTACACGTGACAATGTGGTGGGAGGAAGGTAAGGATTAATAAAGGGCAAAATGACCAGATTGGTAAATTTTGTAGAAGCTTGGAGACATGTTGGTATATTTTCTTTTAGTTTTGTCAGATTGGTATATTTTGTCGACTCCGGCGCCAATATAGGCCTTAAGTTGGGCCAGAGTTACTGTTTCGGCCAGCGCTGACGGGATTTCTTGCATAAAACCCCCTCATTAAAACCCCATCATGCTCCTAACCCCCTCCTCCCCCCCTCTCCCTCCTCCTCATCATCCTCTTCCTCCTCCTCCTCCTCATTAGAGTCCTCTTTGCCAACCGCACCCCAATTCTCAAAGGCCCTGTCAGTTTTTCCATCAAAATTGCCCCCAAAACCTCCAACTTGCCCTCTTGAACCAACCCCAATCCTCCCAATTACTCAATTCAGCAAATGGAGCTTCAATTGAGCCTTGGATGGGATACAAGACATCGGATTGCAGTTGGCATTGTGAAATGGTTGAGGTATTTGCACTTTGAGTGTAGCCCAAGGATCTTGCATCATAGGTTGAAGCTAGGGAATGTGATTTTGGATGTGGGTTTTGAACCGAGATTGGGGGATTATGAATTGGGGGGATTGCTTCCTGCTCGAGTCGATGCTTTGGGTTGTGAGTGTTATGTTGCTCCAGAGTGCTTCCAGAGTTGGCAAAGAGGAGGAATGGTCTAATGAGGAGGAGGAAGAGGATGATGAGGAGGGAGAGGGGGAGGTCAAAGAGGATGAGGAGGAGGAGGGAGAGGGGGGAGGAGGGGAAGGGGGTTAGGAGTATGATGAGATGAGGAGGAGGAGGGAGAGGGGGGAGGAGGGGAAGGGGGTTAGGAGTATGATGAGGTTTTAATGAGGGGGTTTTATGTAAGAAATCCCGTCAGCACTGGTCGGAAAAGTAACTCCGGCCAAACTTAAGGCCTATATGGTGTCGGAGTCGACAAAATATACCAATCTGACAAAACTAAAAAAAATATACCAATATATCACCAAGCCTCTACAAAATATACCAATCTAGATATTTTGCCATTAATAAAGAATTAAATTTGAATAAATAGAAGAAAATTGACTATAATTAAAGGGTTGTTTGGTATGATGCAATTGTAAATGCAACAAACACTGCATGTAGAAAATGTTGCATGGATCATTTTTTGCGAGAAAGTAACCTCAAATTCTTTATTTGCATATATGCATTTTTTTGTAAGAAATGTATTTCCAAATCCATGTCCAATGTTTTGTTATTGCAAAAATAGTTTGATTTGCATATTTTCTACAAAAAATATATTTTCATTGCAAATCAAGTGTTTGTTTATCTGAAATTGTATTTTCTACATTTCTGATTTCTTTTAACTAACTTGATGTTAGTGTTGTCAATGCGCAAGGTGCCATCCAGGGCGCAAAGTATCTTTACGCGCATATGCCCAAGGCGCAACGCAATGCGCGTGATGGGAGACGCATACCGCACATAATAAGATAGATAAACAAGCACGAAAGAACATGTTTAGAAGTTCACATAAAAAATTTGTTAGGATAAATAATATCTTATTACGAAATCACAATATAAGGTCTTAGTTTCTAATGTTAGCACATTCAACATAGTGGTAAAGTTCATAGTTTTTCAAATCAAATGTCAAATCAAGACTAATATACAAGCAGAATCAAATAGTAAACGATGAGTAGGTAGGGTCATCAATTGGAGGCTACTAAAAAAGCCTACTGGATTTATTTTATTTTTGAGATATGTGTTATCGAGTATAAAGATTCGATTGAAATGTTAACGAATAAAAATATGAGGCTATGTACTACATGCACCCCGCATAAAGTTAGGATGCTTGCAAGTTGCAATAAGTGTTGCTGCATCAAATGTGAACCGCTTTGCCACCGCCCCGCATCTTAGGACGCACGAGGCACAGTGAGACGCGCGCCTATGAAAACTTGTTGATGTTGTAACATTAATTTTTATTTTTTAAAATTAATAAAAGGATTTGCAATATTTGCCCATAGCTAGAATTTCTTTAGCTGTACAACAGTTTTTCCACAAAAATTACCATTGTTAATTACCTTGTTGCTAACCAAACACTAGAAATTTAAATTTGGCTGTGACATTTTCTATTGAACCTCTATTTTGGTATCAATTCTGTTAGACTAAGTTAGACGAATTCGATTCCTTCTTTTTCTGCTTATGTACTCAAATTTGTACTTCTTCTAATTTTTTGATAAGTCTTTTAATTTAATAGCTAGCTATGTTACCTAGGTACTTCTGTTAGGAAGCTCTACATATACCCGGCATGTACCGGTACCTGTACTTGAATCTCTTAGACATTTTTTGAATATATGCATGTGTTTATTGGGGGGTATACTCAGTTATATAATATAAGTTCTAATTTAAAACATTCTTCGTACACTTCTTGGATATATATTCTACATTTCACATCTATTTCTTATATATTGATATTATGTAAATAAAAAAATAACATTGATCTTTCCACATGCACTTGGATTGGAGAGGACCATTTGCAAGTGGGGACAATTTGAATAAGTAGATGGGAATATGGGAATGAGTCACATCATTATCAAGCACAAAGTTTGACACACAAAAAATTTGCCGTGTCCCGTACCTGTGTTCCTGAACCCATACCCCTACACATGCAACCTAAATAGCTAGAGATTGACTTGGACGGCCCTCCTTTGTGTTTTCTATGTGAAAAGATAAGAAAATGGCTAATCTTGCTTGTCTTGTTTTGAAATTAAAGTACTTAAAGGAGCTAAAGTATTCCTACCGGCGACTTATGATATTAACCGCGAATTTCCAGTGTTCGTGCTTATCTATGATTCAGGTTGATCTAACGGTTCAAACCACTTTCCATGCGAAAAATAATGATGCAAAACGACGTGATGCAGGTACGAAGATCAACAGTAATAATGTTTCACCAAATCAGCGATCGATCTAGGCAAGAAGCTCAAGAATAAAGTGTAGCTTTCGATGATTTTTAAACAAAAATTGCTAATGTACTAAGTTCAGACCTTTGTAATTTATTCAGATAACCAATGTAATAATTTGTTCTCTTAATACAGTTCGACTCGTAATATTAGATCGCAAATATACTTAGCAACAGAATCGCTCACTCACTAATCAAACGGAATACAACACAATCGTAATTGATATTAAAATTGATAATAGCATGCACGCAATAGCGGTTTCGAAAATATTAGGTCGATAGAAAAATAAACCTTCGTCGGGCTGAACTGGTTCGACGTGGTGGACCTCTGGATGTGGTGTAATAACTCCGAATCTGAGTGACAGAAGCTCTCCTCCGAGGGCTACGTAATTAGGATGAAGTGGCATGTCTGGATGAAAACGTCGGTGCCATGAACTAATTCCCAAACGGCTCTTTATGCTATCGGCAATCTGATGAGTCACGCGTTCGATGTATTCGGATACAGTCTCGAACGCTGATAGTCGAACCATGGGGAAAGCTGTAAATCAACTATACCAGTCTCTGGATCAAGCACGAGATTATAGTCTTCAGCGTCGGGATAAGCCATACACCAACGGGTTGCAGAATCGAGATTCTGATCAGTGAGATTAGGTCTGGGTTGGGGCCTGATCCAACTGAACCTGGTTCGAGTCTGAACCAACTCCAATCAGATCCAAATATAAATGGGCCGAATCTGTTCAGAAGAACCGACTCCGAAGATTTGTTCGGTATGACTTCGGGGCGTATGATGGCGGCTCGAGGGAAGGAGGACAACATGGTGGGGTTGTTAAGGCCGTGCCTGAGTATGGTGGACTGTTGCGGAACGGGGAACGTGACGTCATGTGAGTGGGGCGGCAACGCAGTTGGGCGGCTCTGCCGGGGCCTGCGGCATTTTAGGGTGGCTGAAGAGGAGGAGGCGACTAGAGAAAGTGACGGTGGCGCGTTTTGGGAGCGCACGGAGAGGAGGGTGGTAGGCGTTGGCAGGCAGGAGAAGCATAGGGAGGTTGCGCGGACTGCTGGCTGCGGACGGAGCAGGGAGGAGGTGAATTAGCGCTGCCGTTTTGAGGAGATGGGGTCGGGTTTCGTGGGGGAGGAGCAGGCGCAAGGGGGGAGGGTGCTCGGCTGTGTGAGGAGAATAATAGGGGAAAGGGGTTTATTTTGGAACAGTGATTTTATTTTGGCTGTTGGAAAATTAACGTGGAGAAGAACACTGAAAATAAAATTGCCTAAGGTTTCACACCTTAATTTAGCCAATTCAATTTTTCATTCAATCTTCAATAATTCATTTCTGATTACAAGAGTCTTTAAATAAAGAAAATTACAGATTTAGAAGATTCTATAAATCCCTCAAATCTCTCTCATAATCAAATACAATCAATTAGCTAATTAACTATCAAATAAAATCAAAATTCAAAATTCAAAATTCAAATTAATTATTATAATTGAAATCAAAACCACAATGCTGAAACATGAGGACTCCTGCGCTGATAAACTCGACAAAAATCTCGTGCACACGTCTGAATGTCCTTATCATTCTCTTCGGGTGGGAGAGAACTCGACCCTGTTGAGTGTAAATCAGGACGACTGTCATACTGCTCAAGAAGATCTGGATCCAGCCTCTGTAAGTCACCCCTTATGTAGCACGGACACGGATCCGACATGGCCATCCGACACGCCGACACGAGACAAATCCTAAAAAATACATAGGATACGTGTGTTATACACGTGTGTCCGACACGGATACGACACGACACAGTTTCATGTTATATGTGTCCGTGCTTCATAGGTCACCCCTATTGAGTCAAGTGTCATCAGACTCAGGTCGTCCTTTTCAACGTACCAAGTACCTGCGGATACTATCATTGCTAGTAGAAACAATGTTATCATCAATAATAATATTAATGTCATGTGCTGTATATGTGGGTGATATCTGGGGAAGTGGAGGTAAAGGGGAGCTCTCAGAACTAGGTTCAGGTGTAGGCTCATCAACCAGTGGGTTGTCAGAGTTAAAATGGGGGCGTTTGTACTCTACTAAATCCTTAATATTGAAAGTCGAATCAATATTAAAACCTTCAGGAAGGTCGAGAACATAAGCATTATCATTAATTTTCTTGAGAATTTTAAAAGGTTCTGCACTTCGTGCATGCAACTTTTTAACAGTCCCCGGAGGAAACCGTTCCGGACGTATCCGGACCATCACATAATCACCAACACTAAATTCTTTAAACCTCTTTCGTAGATCTGCTCGCATTTTATAGTTAGCATTGCTGTCATTGGTCTTTATACTGATTTCTTTATGCAAGTCATGAATGCGAGATGCAAATGCAGATGCTGATTCAGATACTCTATGATGTGCAGACACGGGGACAAGATCTGTATTCTATAGGCTGTCTAGGTTTGTAACCATACACGATTTCAGCTGGACTGATACCTGTAGACCTATTAACGGAGTTATTATAAGCAAATTTAGCAGTAGACAGATGTTGATCCCAATCCCTAAGATTTTCGCCAACTAGCGATCTCAATAGGTTACCTAAGCTCCTGTGGACTATCTCAGTTTGACCATCAGTTTGGGGATGAAAAGCCGTTGAGAATTAAAGCTTAGTTCCCATTTTGTGCCAAAGGGTTTTCCAGAAATAACTAGTAAATTTAACATCCCTATCAGACAATTGTTTTTGGTAGTCCATGTAGTTTAACAACTTCGTTAAAGTACAGTTTAGCCACATGAGAAGCGTCAGAAGTTTTGGGGCACAGTATGAAGTGGGCTATTTTGGAGAATCGGTCCATAACAATAAGGATAGAATCGTGTTTTCTAATTGTCTTCGGGAGTCCTAACACGAAGTCCATACTGACATCTTGCCAGGGATAATTTGGGATAGGGAGATGAGTGTACAAGCCAGTGTTCTGCTTACGTTGCTTAGCTAGTTGGCAGGTGTGACATCGACCCACTAGCCTAACAACGTCTTCTGCTTACGTTGCTTAGCTAGTTGGCAGGTGTGACATCGACCCACTAGCCTAACAACGTCACGTTTAATACTTGGCCAATAGAAACGACAGGTGTGACATCGACCCACTAGCCTAACAACGTCACGTTTAATACTTGGCCAATAGAAACGACATTCAATTGCTTCGACAGTCTTGTTATTCCCAAAATATCCTGCAAGGTCTCCAACGTGTAATTCCCAAATCAAGAATTCTCTTAGAGAGGTGTCGGGAATACACAAGTTGCGAAGATGAAAAAATATCATCCTTCAGGAGAAAGCTATCAATTTTACGGGTCACTTCATCATTCAGCAAAGTATAAACCTCGCAAAAATCAGGGCACGATTCATACTGTTCTTTGACTTTCTCAAAGCCAACTACTTCCGCACTCATGATTGAGAGAAGGTGCATGCGGCGACTGAGTGCGTCGGCGGCTTTATTCTCTACTCCCGTTTTATGTTTAATCGTGTAGGTGTAGTCTTGAAGGAACTTAACCCAACGACTGTGTCTAGCATTCAGATTCTTTTGAGAGAATATATCGAAGGGCATCGTGGTTAGAATATATAACGAATTTTTTCGGTAGCAGATAATTACGCCAGTGACGAAGAGATTGTATCACCGCATAAAATTCTTTATCATAGGTGGAATAACGTTGCCTTGTATCATTCAGCTTCTCACTAAAGTAAGCTACAAGATGTCCTTCTTGAGATAGAACTCCACCTATACAAATACCAGAGGTATCGCACGTAATTTCGAAGACCTTAGAAAAATCAGGCATGCGCATAACAGGTGCCTACGACATTCTTTGCTTGATCTCTACAAATGCCTTGGTAGCAGCTCTTGACCACTCGAACTCACATTTCTCCAAGCAATCGGTAATAGGGGCCATGATGGTGCTGAAACTTTTGATTAACCGACGATAAAATATAGCGAGTCCGTGAAAGCTTCGAACATCTCTGATGTTCTTGGGTTCGAGCCATTCTTTGATAGCTCTAACTTTCTCAGGATCAGCGGATATTCCTTCAGAGGAGACCACAAATCCTAGAAAAATAACTTGGTGTGTAAGAAAAGTACATTTCTTAGGATTGACATAGAGCAGTGTTTTCAATGCGCGAGGCGCAATGCGGGGCGCAAAGTCAGTTTACGCGTACATGCGCAAGGCGCAATGCGATGCGCGCGCCCGAGCGAAGCGAGGCGCACTCTAGACCATAAAATTTTTGAAGATATACAACTATACAAGATGCATGAAAAAAATAAATATTTGTGAAATTTCACATGAAAATGTCAAGGACTCAAGATAAAATATATACTACCGGATCACAAGATAAAGTTTTAATCATTAAAGCAAATCAAGATGTCCATCAAAACAAAAAAACTAAGCAACTAGAACACTTCCAAAGTTCACTAACATCAAAGCAAAACAAGCAATCTAATTAAACAAAGTAAATAAGTAGCAAAATAATAGCCTAATGATTCTAATCATCCTCATTAACATCATCATCATCCCCTTCTAAGGGTATATCCTCATCTTCAGTCTCCTCCTCATCATTAAACTCCTCTTCATCTTCTGACTCAGAAACTGGCTCCCTCCTCCTCGACGAAGAACCAATACCACTCGAAGACCCTCGAAACCTATTAGTCGATCTTAGATACATAGAATCATCTTCTTCAGCTCCCATCGCATCTCCTATGACACCATATGTAAGATTGTCCTCGCCCTCCACTAAGTCATTCTCTGCATTCTCACCTTCACCGAACTGCCCTAACAACCATTCATTGCTTTCATCTATATCAGCCAACTTAATCGGATCAATAGAATCTCTGCAGTCATATCTCTCCTTTAAAGCTTGGTTGTACTTGCAGTAAACTAGATCTTGTAGCCTCTTATGATCCAATTTATTCCTCTTCTTGGTGTGTATCTGTAATTTATACAAATCAATCAAATCAATTTCCATATCTCTAAGGGAATTAAATCTATTTTGTTCAATAAAATAAAACTAATCATACTTGCTCAAAAGTACTCCAATTTCTTTCACAGCCGGAGGAGCTACAAGTAAGGCTGAGGACTCTAACAGCAAGCTTCTGCAACTCTGGTGCTGATGCACCATAAGACTCCCACCAATCAGCTGTCAATTTAAATAGACTGTGATTAGTAGTGTATTTCTTATAAAAAATCTAGTCAATTGAGAGTTTATATTATGCATATTTACCTGGAGACTTCTTCTTTCTATTTCTCTTAGCTATCTCCATACCAAAAAGACCCCCAGCATGCCTGTATATATCCAACTGCCTATCAACCTTGTCTTGGTCTTGTGTGGGCACCATCTTCTCAATGACTTGATAAAGACCTCTCATCACTTCGTCATCCCCTTGGATGTTTGGATGGTCATAGAAAAATGCAGGATTAAGGTAATATCCTGCAGCATGCAAAGGCCGATGAAGCTGATCCTGCCACCTCTTATCAATGATATCAAATACTTCAGAATATTTTGAAAGATCATCACCAAAGGTTTTAGCAATAGTCTCCTTAGCTCTATCCATCGCCTCATAAATGTATCCCATAGCAGGCTTTTTGTCACCATCAACAAGTTTCAGAACACCAACAAGAGGAGCCGTCAGCTTGAGAATACGAACAATGTTATTCCAGAAAGATGGCATATGGACTATCCTTTCAGCTGATTTGCCCTTTGAATCTCTTGCCCACTTACTTTGCCTCCATGTCTCCAAATTAAACATCTTTCTGAGGTTATTTTTCTGTCGATGGATGCTTGACAAAGTCATAAATGATGTGGCAAATCGTGTCACCGCTGGTCTAAGAAGCTCTCTGCCATTAGTTTGACCTCTCATCAGCTTCAAAACCCACGCATGTGAGTAGATGAATCCAGTCAACTCCATAGCTCGACTCAAGGTTAGCTTCACAGATGGTAGTTTACCAATATCCTTGAGCATGAGATTAATACAATGAGCAGCACAAGGAGTCCAATATAAATGAGGATACTCTTTTTCCAATTCCGCTCCTATAAATAAAAAAATAAAAAAAGATCAATATCAGAGCATCCTAACATAGCATTAGCAAAGGATTCATAACCAAAATAAAATTTACCTGCATATTTGAGACTAGAATGGTTATTCGTGACGATCTGAACAACATTCTGAGGTCCTATGAGCTTAATCTGCTCACTAAGTATCTCAAACATTCTGTCACCCGTCTTGATCTCATCAGACGCATCAATAGATGAAAGAAACACCGTACCACGAGGAGAGTTCACAAGAAAATTGATCAATGTTCTCCCCTTTCTGTCACTCCAACCATCTGACATGAAAGAACAACCTTTCGTAGCCCACACCTCTTTATGAGGTTGTATCAGATCATCAGTGTATTTTTTCTCCTTCCTAAGCAAAGGCTCTCTCAAATGGTGTAATGTCGGAGGAGGCAAGTTAGGCCCAAAAGCCCCCACGGACTTTAACATGATTTTGAAAGATCTAAGACGAGCGGCATTAAAGGGAATGTTGGCTTGATACCACCACCGAGATATGTCTTGATGCACTTTAGCCACTGCATCTTTGTTGAGGCTTTCTTCAATACACGATTGTCTCAACTTGCGCCTTCTTTCATCCTTGGCGACCTCAAGAGCGGGATCGAATGTAAGAAATGCATCCATCGGCCCCTTCCTCTTTGGGCCTGTGGAAGATCCCGCACTGTGCATGCCAACACTCCCTCTTCCTCTTGCCGTTACTGAAGATGACCTAGGAACCGCCGAGCCTTTTCCTCTATCTCTATGTTCTTGTACTTGTTCATCTTCATCCTCCTCATCATCAATTTCCACCATGTTCTCATCTCCAAGTTCGGGGAGATATTCATCTATAGCTTGTTGTCTTTTAGCCATCTTTTGTCTTTCTTCATAATCTTTTAGCTCTTCAACCACATCGGGAGGGACTTTTTGACAAAGACTCACATTTTTGCGTTTTCTATCCGTCCCGATTAGATGCTCTTTTTTGTCGGGATATGCCGTCATTTGTGATCTTGTTACAAAATATGCACTTATGTTTATTGGCATTCCCTTCATCAACTAATGAAGTATATTTCCATGTAGGATCTTGTATATTGCTAAATTTTGTTTTCCTTCTTTACAGGTTATAAATGGCGAATCAAGTTTTAACTTTCAAGTCAACTAATAGCAGTGTAGCACTACACCTAGCTCAAATAGCAAGAATCAATACTCGCAGTCTCGCACAAGAAATCAAATAATAGCACATTTTCAACAATTTTGACTGATATGTATTATGTTATGTAATATGTATTAATAAGAAGCAAATAGTACTAGCAATGTTCATAATTTCATGAATCTGCAATCTGCACATTTCAACAGTCATACATATGCACATTTAATTTAAGATAAGATAAATCTCCCCATAAATCTCTCTTTGTAAAATTAAAAATCATTAGCTTATAATTATGATCAAACATTAAGTAACTGTAATCATAGCTTATTATTAATCAAAATAGTCCACAAATCACTTTAATAATTACCTAATATCAATTAAAAATCAGTTTACTTCCTTACTATCTCAATCATTAACAGTCAACTGAGAAGAAAAAAAAAGAAAAAAAAGACACAGAACAGATGAAAAACACAGCAAAAAAGAGAATAAAAATTGAAAAAATTGAAAAACAGAGAAAGGGAAACAAAAACAGAGAAAGTGAACAGCAGCAGCGGAAAAAAAAAAAGACCGACTTTTCTCGTCGTGATATGAAAGTAGAAAATAAATGAAAGAAAAGAAAAGAAAAGATGAAAGAAGAGAAAGGGAACAGATGAAAAACAAAAAAAAAGTGAAAAATGAAAACTCACCTTTGTTCGTCGAGCTCGCGGGTTCTCGTCGTCACCGAAATCGGCTTTTCCTGTTCGTCGCGGGTTCTCGTCGTCACCGAGCTCGCCGTCCCCTGTTCGTCGCCGGTTCTCGTCGTCACCGAGCTCCTCGTTCCCTGTTCGTCGCCACCGAACACGAAGAGAGACAACGAAGTGAAGACTGAAGAACCCTAGCTGCGATCTGGTTTGCCTTTTTTGGTTTTTTGGGTTTAATTTTGAGTCGGGTTTCTACCCGTTTCCACCCGATATCCGCATTACATGAGCCCATTTGCCTTGAATTTCCGAGGCGATCGCCTTCCCAGAGGCGGTGAGGCGCTCGAAGGCGCACTCGGGCGCGCGCTTGGGGCAAGTGCAGCGCCCCGTACCCCATGCGGGGCGCTATTCCACCGCGCCGCACCGCCTTGCGCCTGAGGCGCGCGCCCGACACCGCCTTTGAAATCACTGCCTATTTCTGTATTGGAGCCGAGCTCACGGCATTTCGAGACACTTCATTGGAAAGGAAATCTTGGGGCACGCACTCGGGCGCGCGCTTGGGGCAAGTGCAGCGCCCCGCACCCCATGCGGGGCGCTATTCCACCGCGCCGCACCACCTTGCGCCTGAGGCGCGCGCCCGACACCGCCTTTGAAATCACTGACATAGAGTTGCTCTTTTCTTAACACATCACAGACTTGACGCAGATGGTCCACATATTGCTCACGAGAGTTACTGTAGATAAGGATATCGTCAAAGTACACCACCAAGAATTTTTCGTGAAAGGACGGAGTACTTGAGTCATCACTCTCATAAAAGTGCTTGGAGCATTAGTCAAGCCGAAGGGCATGACCATTCACTCGTACAATCCATCTTTCGTCTTGAAAGCGATTTTTCATTCATCACCAGGACGGATGCGAATCTGAGGGTAACCACTCTTAAGATCAATCTTAGAAAAGATAGTGGCTCCAGACATAAGGTTAAGCATATCATCCAACCGAGGAATGGGGAAACAGTACTTCACCGTGATCTTGTTAATTGCGCGGCTATCCATACACATATGTTATGTTCCATCTTTCTTGGGCGTCAATAAGGCGGGGACCGCACAAGGACTCATGCTTTCTTTCACAAAGCCTTTCTTCAATAACTCAACTTGCCTCTTCAGCTATGCATGTTCATTTGGGTTCATCCGATAGTGGGGCAAATTGGGAAGGATAGCTTCCGGGACTAGATCAATTGCTTGTTGGATGTTACGCATCGGGAGTAATTGGTCCGGGAGGTCCTCAGGGAAGATGTCAGAGAATTCTTCTAACACAAAAGCTGCTTTTGGGGGAACCATATCAGAAATATCCTTAGAAGCTTCTCTAGCAGCAAGAATGAAAAATGGGGCTCCTTTGGCTAATTCACGATCAATCTCTTTGATTTCGATTAGGTTAACACCTTTGGATGACTTGTCTGAGTTGGGTTTCTTGTCATTACCCTTCGGTTGAACCGAAAGGGTCTTTACCTTCTTCCCATTGTGCTCGAACAATATCATATTTGACCGTTCAAAAATGTGAACGTCGTTATCAAACAGCCATGGTCTTCCAAGAATAACTTGGCCTACATCCATCTTTAGAACATCGCACCACACCTTGTCCTTAAAAATGGCAAATTGAAAAGGGACTAAACATCTCTCTTGGATATGGAGTGCAGTGTCGTTAATCCATTATACTTTGTATGGATTAGGATGGCGTACAGCCTTGAGGCCAAGCTTGGCGATCACAGCTAAGGAGACCGCATTGATACAACTTCTACTATTCACGATCACTTTGCAATTCTTATCTCCAATCTTTGTGAACGCATGAAAGATAGAGGTACGTCTCCAATCATCAATAGCTTTGGGTTGTGACATAGCACATCTAACAACATATATAGGAGGGATTTTGATTTTTCTAAGACAACCTAGGACAGTATCATCGACATCATCCTCAAAATCATCAGTATCATCGTCAACTTGATGGACAAACTCGTCGCTGTCAAGTTCAGGTTCATATTCGAATTGGCCATCGATGATAACAACCTTGTGACGGGTCGGACAGTTCGCAGAAATATATCCATACCCTTAGCATTTGTAGCACTTGACGTGAGGGCCAATCTTGGAGAAATCTCTCTCTGGCTCCTTGCCTTTGGGGTCGACTTTAGGCTGGGAAGAACTAGGGTTAGATCGACTAGGAGGTTGACTAGAGGTAGTGGTACGGGAAGACTGGGAGGAATGAGTTCTAAAATCCCGACTCCTATGAGATTGATGGGATTTGGCTTCATCTAAATCTTGAACTAATGTGTAAGTTCTCTCAAGGGTGTCTACTCCTCTAGCAAAGAGTTCAGTTTGGAGGTCGCTTCTCAATCCAGCTCTAAACTTTGACAAGACTTTCATCGGCGCATCTTGTTCAATGGTGCTGCATCGAGTAAATAATTCGTCGAATTGTGCAACGTATTCTTTCGCAAATATGGTTCGTTGAGTGAGACGACACCACTTATCGAGCAATCGATGATAAAACGATAACAAGAGGTATTTCTATTTCAGTTCGTCGGTCATTTCTCACCAAGTTGTAATCGGTAATTCACCTCTAATATGCCTTAGCGTTTCGAGGTTGGTCCAATATTGGCAGGCGGGTCCGGTGAATTCATCGCTGCGAACTTGACATTTCGGAGTTCCGTCAGGACGTACCAATCGAAATAGCGATCCATGTTTTTCAGCCAGTCCTGAAAAGCTTGTGGGTCGAGCTTTCCGTCAAAGATTGGTGTGCTGACCTTAATGCTCCTCAGGTATTGCGCATCCGGGTCAGGCATAGGTTGATGTGGTGGTCGATGAGCGACGTGCCCATAACCTTGGCCTTACAGCGACGGGGTTGCAACACGCGCTTCCTCGATCCTAGTGAGCCTTTCGTTGGTGTCAGTCAGGGCCTCGCAGTTAGCTCTGCTCTCTTGGGCTAAGTTACCTACTTGTCTTGCTAGCTCAGCGATTTGCTTAAGGATTTCGGAGAATTCGGGATTTGTACTACCTGACATACTGGACTTACTAGTTGATCTACTTGACTCTCCTAATCGATAGGATAGACCCGTGCGAGTGGGCATGCACTAACAAATAGATGAGATGAATGAGTACACAATAGCTAAATGAGATGACTGATAAATTTTTTTAATTAAAGACTCAACTAAAAATAAAATAAAAATTTCCTAACTTAGAACCATATTCTGATACCAAAAATGATGCGAAACGACGTGATGTAGGTACGAAGATCAACGACAACAATGTTTCGCCAAATCAGCGATCGATCTAGGCAGGAAGCTCAAGAATAAACTGTAGCTTTCTATGGCTTTTAAGCAAAAAAATGCTAATGTACTAAGTTCAAACCTTTGTAATTTATTCAGATAACCAATGTAATAATTTGTTCTCTTAATACAGTTCGACTCGTAATATTAGATCAGCAAATATACTTAGCAACAGAATCGTTCACTCACTAATCAAACGGAATACAACACAATCGCAATTGATATTAAAATTGATAATAGCATGCACGCAATAGCGGTTCCGAAAATATTAGGTCGATAGAAAAATAAACATTCGTCGGGCTGAACTAGTTCGACGTGGTGGACCTCTGGAGGTGATGTAATAACCCCGAATCTGAGTGGCGGAAGTTCTCCGAGGACTACGTAATTGGGGTGAGGTGACGTGTCTGGATGGAAACGTCGGTGCCACAAACTAATTCCCAAACGGCTCTCTACGCTATCAGCAATCTGATAAGTCACGCTTTCGATGTATTCGGGCACAGTCTAACGCCTGATAGTCGAACCACGGGGAAAACTGTAAATCAACTATATCAGTCTCTGGATCAAGCACGAGATTGTAGTCTTCAGCGTCGGGATCATCCATACACCAACGGGTTGCAGAGTCGAGATTCTAATCAGTGAGATTAAGTCTGGGTTGGGGCCTGATCCAACTGAATCTGGTTCGAGTCTGAACCAACTCCAATCAGATCCAAATATAAATGGACCGAATCTGTTCAGAAGAACCAACTCCGAAGATTTGTTCGGTGCGACTTCGGTCTAAGGAGAGGCGTACGATGACGGCTCAAGGAAGGAGGACATCAGGGGGGTTTGTTTGAGGCTGCCTGAGGCCGAGGGAAACTCGACAGTGACTACTGGGAAGGGGAACATGGCGTGTGAGTGGGGCAGCGGGTTGGGCAGCTCTGGGGCTGTCGGAGTTTAGGGGGTGAAGAGGAGGAGGCGACCAAAGGAAAGAAGGACGGTGGCGGTTTGAGGAGCGACGGGGAGAGGAGGGGTGGAGGCGCGACAGGAGGAGAAGGCAGGGAGGTGGTGGCGACTGCTGGCTGCGGACGGAAGCAGGGAGGAGCAGGGTAGCAGTTTGAGGAGATGGGGTCGTAGTTTCGTGGGGGAGGAGCAGGCGCAAAGGGGGGAGGGTGCTCGGCGGTGTGAGGAGAATAACAGGGGAAAGGGGTTTATTTTGGAACATGGGTTTTATTTTGGCTGTTGGAAAATTAACGTGGAGAAGAACACTGAAAATAAAATTGCCTAGGGTTTCACACCTCAATTCAGCCAATTCAATTTTTCATTCAATCTTCAATAATTCATTTCTGATTACAAGACTCTTTAAATAAAGAAAATTACAGATTTAGAAGATTCTCTAAATCCCTCAAATCTCTCTCATAATCAAATACAATCAATCGGCTGATTAACTACCAAATAAAATCAAAATTCGAAATTTAAAATTCAAAAATTTAAAATTCAAATTAATTATTACAACTGAAATCAAAACCACAATGCTGAAACATGACGCATCCTGCGCTGATAAACTCGGCGAAAATCTCGTGCACGCGTTTGAATGTCCTCATCAAATAACAGCAACAACAATTGCTTCATCCCAAATTTTTAGTGTTGGCTGCATGAATCTTATTTTTCCTTTCAGTTCTGCAGAGAGCTATTTCCTCCAATTAGTTACTCATTATCATAGTTTCAAATCAAATTCTCTTAAACATACCTCTACTCCTCATTTCTCCATTAAACTTCTTCTAACTGGCGCATTTGATGGCTTCCATTGCACAAGATCAAACCATCTCAAACAATCCAATTTCCACATGAGCAAAGAATTCTTTCTTCCTTTAATTCTGGTTAGCTAATGAATGTCTCTCTGTGATTTATGACCATATGTATTGTCTCTATCGAGATACTCATTCCTATAGTTCAAAGGTGTATTAGAAGATACTGTTAACTTAAATTACCTAAATCTTGATACATGAGAAGTGATTATTAGTGAACTGATGTATAAAACACTAACAATCAGCTGGTCCTAACTCTGTCATTTTGTATGAAACATTAAAGAGTATGATAATCAAATGTAAAGTTGTAAACAGACAATTGAACTATTTTTTGTATAGAAATAATATCCGTCCTTATTTGGAAGTTTTTTCTTGCGGTATATCTCTCTTCATGTTCTTATCATCAGTTAGATGGGGGAGCCAAAAAGTTCAATGATGCTGATGGGTAAGTGGAAATGCCATTTCAAAGAGGCAAGAGGCTCGCTCCCACCTACACTTGTTGGGCCGTGAGAGCTTTTGATCTTTAATTTATTACATCTTAAATCAGTACCAAATTTCAATTGACATGTATAGAAATAGTATTCATCCCTATTTAAAATTTTTTCTTGGGGTATATATCTCTTCATGTCTTTAAAATCATAGGTAGATGGGTGAGCCGAAAAGTTCAACGATGATGAGGGATTAGTGGAAACTTCCATTTCAAAGAGGCAAGAGGCTCACTCCCACCTTTACTACTCTTCAAATTGAGCCTTGAGTGTTTCAATCTTTAATTTATTACATCTTAAATCAGTACCAAATTTTAATTGAGGCATTGAACTTGGGTATTGATTAGTTTTCTTGAGCAAGGACTTGATTGTCCACTGTGTTATCTAACATTAACTTATAACAATCATATTTACCAAAACCAAGTTTTTCTAACAATCGTGCCAATCTTTCTGACGATTGTGGTATCCAAAGTTACTGGCTGATATCTCTAACCGTCTACGACGGTCTACTATCAGCTGTTTAAAAAGCATAACAAATGATTTACCATTCTATGGAAAATTGAATGTACTTCCTTAGGCAATTGTCCAGGAAAATGCTTGAAGTTGGATCAGTGTGCACGATTTCTTTTGCACATTTGTAGGACGGATTTTACTATTTAATCCTTATCATAGCTCAAGATGGTATAAGAAAAAAAAAAAGTAGCGA